ACAAAAAATGATACCTCCGAACAGTTAACAGCCTAAGACTTAAAATCTATTCTTGCTTATTCCCAATTGGTATTGGTATAACTCTGCAGTCAGCTGTGTTATAAAAAGGCACGAGGATATTCTGGCTTTTCTGTTGGTCCCTGGCACTCTAGTGGCACTTCAGTAGTATGTTTTACCTGTTACTTTCTGAATCATCAACCAAAAAAATGTTGTACAACCAACGTATGTCTCTGACTGTCTTCCCTTGCATGCTTCAGTCACCCAGTACTCCTAGCAGACAGACAGATTCATTTTCTACGAGACAAGATGCATCTGCAGGTAAGCCATCACACTTAATTAAGCATGTCTCTTCATATGCAATGAAGACATTATATACGTTTGAGTGGAGTATGCTGCTCTTTCATTCCAGCCTGGTTTTGTTAGTAAGATAATGTCAGCCAGTGGCTTCACTACAAACAAATGTTGATTATTAATCTCCATCTCTCCCTCCTTCCTGCCAGCACACTATTAACCTAGGTTATCTACTCAAGGAACCCATTTTTAAGCCCCAAGGTAGATATTGCTAATTTGCAAAAGAGCAGTTCTTGTCCAATCTTGCTCCACTACACCACAGGCATGGATCTGCGATAGGGATGTATTTACATCCATGGCATACAAGTTAGGAGATGGCGCCCCGTAAGATCCAGCTCTGGCTTTCACCTTTGGCTGCTGCACTTTATTATCTCTAGAAATGACCCGAATAATACAGCACATGCAGTACCTCTTGTGCTTTCTCCTTGCACTCCTCGTTGCTGTTGAGCAAACATTCCAGCTGGAGTTTGCTGTCCACTCACATGCCTAAAAACTTCACCACATTTAAAAGCCTGATGCTCTCCCCACAACTTTGACTTTTCACAAGAGCTACCTACAACATGAGAAATGAAACTGCAAGGCCTTGGAGCTCAGGAGGCACACGTCGCATTTCAAATTAAGTTCTGCGCTGAAAGAGAAGGACTCCTACGTTGAATCCAACACAGTTAAACTCCAACCCTGGCTGCGGTTCCCCACAGCTACTGCAGCAGTAGAAGTAACCACAATCATCCTAATGGAATACAAAATGTATATATTTTGACCTTACTTCAATTATTTTCTGCATCTGTAATCACAGTGCATTCACAGACAAAATCTGAAAACCTGTAATCAAAATGAAGGAACCACTCCTCCCTGGGGGAAGAGTGAATGTTGTATTTTTTCCATTTTAAAATTGTTACAAAGCTTCTTATATGCTGTTTCTAGTGTAAAAAGGTTCTTTATTTCTCATAAAGGCTAAATAATACTAAAGAAGTCTTAACTGAATATACCAACAGTGGACCATCTTTAAGACTATTTATGAAGGAAATGTTCAGTGCAGGAAAAATGAAATAAGAGCAAAAATAGCCACAATGATGACATCTCTGCAACCAAAACCTTTTCCTCAGCTTAAGTGTCAGTTCAGCAAAGTAACAGGGACGCTGCTCATTTGTTTGCTGTTGTTTGCAGAGAAGTCTGCCTGAAGTTATTTCAGTTATTACACCTGCCAGTGAGACTCCACTGCCAATAGCTGAGGTTTTACGAGGAATTTGGCTCTTTCCGTTTGCTCAGCAAAACGCTTCACCAACCCGAGTCCTTCTGTGCCATCCCAAGTCTTTCAGAGTCTGAAAAAGAAGAGATTTTAATCTCTGCAATGCCTTTAATTTTCAGCTGCGAGGGGGCAAAACATACTTCAGTGCTTCATGCTGTAAAGTTCACGGGTGATTGATCGACTCTGTTACAGAGAAAATATTCCAGCAGCAACTCTTTCTTCTGCCACCAGAAACATGAAGCTGCAGGCCCTGCCTCTGAAGTGGAGCACCGCATGTAAAGAAAGCACTGCGTACGCCTGGGCCCTAGGGCAAGGGATGAACAGCAGCTATCGGAAAACCCCCTTATCTCGAAAACCAAAAAGATAGTAACAGTGGCACAGTGTTGTCTGTTGGTAACAGGGAGGGAAATTCTCTAGTTTGGAAAGTTGCTGACCTGTCCTTCCAGGTGGAAATTAAGTTCCCAGAGTAGGACTTCTCAGTACCTGTGTAGTGTTTGTAAAGAACGCAACTAATTCATGGACCTCGTGTGGCTCCCATGTCCGGAAAGACCCCAAGGTGGGCTCCCAACTAGACACCACCCTTGGTTTTTCACTCCACATTCATGCTTTCATCCATTCAGTGCCAAAGTAAAGATCGTGGCTGGTATTTATTCAGTGGGTCAGGAACACCAAGTCCACATAGAATCATAGAATTGTTGAGGTTGGAAAGGACCTTTAAGATCATCTAGTCCAACTATCAACCTAACTGACAAAAAAAACCCATCACTAAACCATGTCACCAAGCACTATGTCAACCCGCCTTTTGAATGCCTCCAGGGATGGTATATTATCAGCAAATCCCACCGAGGCCCATACAGCATTGCTCTGATGGATCACACTGGTGCTCCTGCAACTGCCCAGTGACATCTGACTAGACCTGCATGCTCTGAGGAGGACAGATCTCTTTCACCCTCATCTCACACCCACGTTACATCCCTCTGCCCTAACGCAGAGGTGAACCGCTGAAGCTGGGATCAAGATAAATGATAACGAGCCTGGAAAAGGCCTCTTCAGACAGATCTCTGTGGAGATGAGATTTGTATTTTCCACGTGGGAGCCCAGTTCACACGTCAGACAGGAACTAATTGTTTTGGAGGAGTCCAGAAAAGATTATCCTCCGTCCAGTCCACGCCTCTTCACAGAGAGGTGGGTGGAGCAGAGGGGTGGCAGCCAAGCACGAAGCCGGGCCGAGGAAGTGGAGGCAGTATTTTGCCTATGCAAGTTTTTAAATCTTGTGAAGCGTTTCAAGGGGTACTCAGTATTCCTGCGCTGCTGAGAGGAGTTCCCTTTCTAAACTCCCATTTAAAGTACCTGGGACTTCCCTCTCTCCCTTGGCCACCCAACACTTCCTTGTCTAGCAAACTTGAAAGTCATGGTGCATCCACAACGGTTCTGAGAGATGCACGTGGAAAGGTGCCAAAGAAGGGGGCGAGGGCCAGAAAACCTGTCTCTCCCCAACTATCCATCTTGGTGTAGTCACCTGGAAAGCCGTGCCCTCAAACCAGCGTGACTACACCTTGATTCCCTACAGCTTGCACACATGTAGCTCCACTCCGGGGAGTAACGGCTGGGATAAAGGGTGCAGTGTACGTGCTGCTTAACGTAAACCCGGATCCTTTGGATTCAGCACAGCAGCTTTGCAACATGCCGGGTGGTGTTCCTCATGGGACAGTGCTGTTCCTCACCGCAGGGACCTCCTGCAGCCTCCCCTTCAGCACAGCCAAGGCCCATATCTTCACCCCAGCCCAGCCAAGTGCCGCAGGCCAAACTCCAGCACCCCGCAGCATCTCGGTCAGCGATGGATGGACAATTGCTTGGTCAGTGGTTTGACCTGGACAGGCTGGAGACTGACCTGGACAGGCTGGAGAGTTGGGCAGAGAGAAACCTAATGAAATTCAATAAGGGCAAGCATAGGGTGCTGCACCTGGGGAGAAATAACCCCCTGCACCAGTACAGGTTGGGGGCTGACCTGCTGAAGAACAGCTCTGAGGAAAAAGACCTGGGAGTCCTGGTGGACAACAGGATGACCATGAGCCAGCAATGTGCCCTTGTGACCAAGAAGACAAATGGCATCCTGAGGTGCATCAAGAAGAGCGTGGCCAGCAGGTCAAGGGAGGTCATCCTGCCCCTCTACTCTGCCCTGGTGAGACCCCATCTGGAATATTGTGTCCAGTTCTGGGCTTCCCAGTTCAAGAAGGACAGGGAACTGCTGGAGAGGGTACAGCAAAGGGCCACAAAGATGATTAAGGGCCTGGAGCATCTCTCCTACGAGGAGAGGCTGAGGGACTTGAGTCTTTTTAGTCTTGAAAAGACTTTGGGGGGATCTAATCAGTGGGAGGGTGTCAGGAGGACAGGGCCAGTCTTTTTTCAGTGGTGCCCAGTGACAGGACAAGAAGAAATGGGCACAAACTTGAGTATAAGAAGTTCCACTTAAGCGTGAGGAGGAACTTCTTTACTGTGGGAGTGGTGGAGCACTGGAACAAGCTGCCAAGAGAGGTGGTGGAGTCTCCTTCTCTGGAGACATTCAAAACCCGCCTGGACATGTTCCTGTGGACCCGCTTTGGCGGGGGGGTAGGACTAGATGGATCTCCAGAGGTCCTTTCCAACCCCATATGATTCTATGATGGTGCCAGCATTCTCCCTTTCCGGCCCTACCGCTACCTGGTACCTACATCCACCTTGGCGCCCCGGCCCCGCGGCCACAAATAGCCCCACTCAGTGGGGGAGCCCCGCTGGCGTGTCCCCTTCGGGGTCCGGGCCCGGTTGGGGAGGAAGGTGCCCGCGGGGCTGTGAGGGTCGCGCCGAGGCCCGCGTAGGCCCTCGGGGGCTGGTCGGCCCCTCTGAGGCGGGCCGGCAGGGACGCGTTAGCGCAAGAGGAGGAGGCCCGGGGGGAGGGGGGCCCCACGGCGGACCCCCAGCACCCCCGGGGCGGGCAGGGGGCGGGAGAGGCGGTGCCCCCCGGCCGCCGAGGGGGCCGCGCCGGG